TGATAGTGGCTCTAACCCTTCCTGGCTTCATCTAAAACATAAACAAAAACTTATAGCTGGGGTTCTACATTAAAGAAAAACTATGCCAGTCAAGTGTTTGTCGTATACTAAAAGAAGCATGCAGTCAATGTCATGCTGATGATGGTTTAAAGAAACCCTACTGCCAGACCATATTTCAACAACAATCTTTCATGAGATTATATGTACATTTAGCATAGTTTAGACATGCTATTTACCCGAGCAAGCCTCATCCAAAAGCCCAGAGACTGCTTCTGGGTGCCGACATCTTGGATGTGATGTCAGCAGCCCCAGCAGACTCAGAGCTTTGACTCAAGTGACACTGTTTAGTATTAATTCCTTCCTTACTCCTCCAGCAGCTACATAAAAGGTATTATAGGGAGGTGAATGAAGGGGTGGAGCAGCTAGGCCAGCATAGACACTAATTAGAGACTCCCAAAAGAAAAAAATAGCTATGACATACAATGAGGGAGAAGGCTGTGCTATGGAATCGACTCTTCCTAAGGTAGGTCATTTTTTTAAAGAAAAAAATGCTGTAAGTAATAATTTACAGTTCTTGATTGTTCTGTGCTTTTACCTGCAATTTTAAGTAGGGGACAGGGCCCTTTTAAAGAGAATTCCAGGTAAGACACGCAATTTTGGGATAGAGAATATTGACAGAGGGACCAAGATAACAAATTAGTGTAGAAATATTAAACTAAAGCAAGCAGAGGAGTAGTATCATTTCACAAAAATGACAAGCATTTTGGGGTAGAGATCCCCTTTTAAGACAATGTATTTTATAAAACTCCTGTCACATAAAAGTTCTATCGATAAAAGTTACATACACACAGCTGATAGGTGCAAACATCAGCGCTTTCAACCAAACCCACAAATTTACTGCTATAAAGACATTCACTAGATTGTAAACTCTGTAGAGTACACATATACAGTACAGGCAGTCCCCGGGTTACGAACAAGATAGGGGCTGTAGGTTTGTTCTTAAGTTGAATTTGTATGTAAGTTGGAACAGATATATTTTTTAAGTGTAACTCCAGCCAAAAAAATTCTGTTTTTTTTGTTTTGGATAGCATTGGAAAAGGTTAACCCCCTGTAAAGTTTGTTTTGCTGTGTGTGACCCTGTTCAGAAGATTTCACCTCACTTTCTGTCCCTGTGACAATCGGATTTTGAAAATGTTGGGTTGTTGTGGAGCGTGGTAGCATTACAACTACCTTTGCTGTACACTAATAGCCTCCGTTTGTAAGTAGGAGTTGTATGTAAGTCGGGTGTATGTAACTCGGGGACTGGCTGTCTAATCTGTATAGCGCATCTTCTTATCACCAGCTTCCAGTGGTACTTCTATCCTCACGCATATATTAGGACAAAAAAAATACATATTTTGTACATCTCTTCAATTCATGCACATTTTCCCATGTTTTATCCCTTTAGGACTCATTCACACAGCTGCTTTGGGCTGGATGCCAACAAGAATAAAGAACTGTTGATGTGCCATAAATATAGTATGCTCCTAAATTCCTCTTTGGCGTGACAACACTAATTTCTGATGCATTGCAAAGAACAAAAATCTATCCTCGTCTCCCCTTCCTCAGCTCCACAACCTCTCCTCTGCACAGACAGAGAAGGCAAAAAGGGAATTTGAAAGTGACACTAAAGTCAGGAGTTAAATCTTAACAATGCATTCAAGTACCTTACTATTAACAAAAATTTTACTTATTTGTGTATCACACGGCTGTAGATTCTCATATCTTACCTAAATTTGTGCTGACACTGTCCTTGCTTCTGGATGGTGGCTACTTTTGTTCCCCATGGTCCCTTGTAAGTTGTAAAGTAGCCACCACTTCAAGCTCACTCCTGTGATGGACTACAATCTCACATTCAGTTTACCAATTTGTATTGAGACTGTAGTCCATCACAGGAGCAAACTTGGAGCTGTAGCTACTTTACAACACACACAGGGACCATGGGAAACAAAAGTAGCCACCCTCCAGAAGGAAGGACAGTGTCAGCACCAATTCAGAGATGATTTGAGTATCTACACATGAGTGATGCACACATAATCTACATGTTTGTTAATGGTTAAGCTACTTCAATCTATTTTTAAGATTTAACTCCTGAGTTTAGTGTCACTTTAAGCTTGCAGGTTTTATTAGTATTTTAAAGGCATTAGGAGCTAATTGCTGGCCTCTGGATGTTGCTACAGGGGTTATATTTACAAAACAACTATATAATCTTTTTGCTATATGTATATGCCTAGGTACATTTATAGGCCTAAACTAGCCAAGTAAGACCTACATCTTGAAAAACAAAATTGCACCTAAAGGCACCCAAAAGTATTTTACATTTGAAATATGCAGGAAGTGATGTATATTACATCACTTCCTGCATTCAGTGTCACTTTCCAGCTACAGAAGCTGATTAAGCATATCTCTGCTTCATCAGCTTCTCTGAGGGACCCTAGGTGACATTAGGGGTCTTGGAGACCCTGATGTCTTCATAAAGAGGTTCTGTCATGTAAATTGGCTATCACATAGGGGGCTTCTTAACCCCCCATGTAATAGCAATAAAGTTGTGTAAAAAAAAAAATAATACAAAAATTAAACAATCAACATAAAAAAAGAAGCATTAAAAAAGAAAAAAAAACATTTTAAGTCCTCCGCCCCCCCCCCCATACACATGCAGATATGCGTCGGGTGCGCCTACGTGCAAAAACAACGATTGTGCCTATTGTGCCGCACTGGTTACATATAACCACGAACGTCGGAGTGTGAGCAATAATTTTAGGTCCATTAATTACTGATAACACTAAACTGATGAGCGGTAAAAGCGCTTTAAGCGTTGCCTATGGCCAATTTTCAGTGCGGTCGTTCTTTACAATTTTAAGGCTTGACATGTTTGGTGTCTATTTACCCGATGTGACCACGTCTTTTATGTTTTACCAAAAAGGTCCTATAGAGCATATCATAAGTTGATGTCAAAGTGAGGCCTAGGTAAGGTAAAATGTCTGTCCATTGAGTAAGAGGTCCGAAGGATGGATTCCATTCTCAGAGATAAGGTGACATACATTGCTCTCAATTTAGACTAATTTACCTGTAGACCTGAAAGAATAGCAAATTTATTTAAGTTATGAATCAGGTTAGGAAGAGAGATTATTGGAGAAGTTAAGAATAGTAAGATATCATCCGTAAACATAGATATTTTATGGTTGACTCACACAATTTCCACCCCTTTGACATCAACATTCAAACAAATACTTTTCAGCTAGCGGTTCCGTTTACTGAGTTTCAACATTTTAATAGTATATAATATTTCATGTTCAGTAACATCAGCATCCACGACTTGGACATTTTTTTTTTTTTGCTTTAAATGATGTATGCATTTGCTTACACAAAATGTTATATCACATTTTCCTATACAATGCTTCCAGTGATGGTTCATACCATATTTTATTTTGTAAGGTGTTTAGTGTGACCTTTCTAATAGTGCAAACTGGATTGATTGCCATAGTGGCAGATATAATCAATAGTATTACATTTGGCCTTTTTTTAAGCAGTGGCTTATTACTGAATATCAATTTCAATGACCACTTACTAACTCTAAGAAGACCCTTGGCTACTTTGTATTATCTACTACATTAGATAAATACATATACCAGGTCTACATGTAAATGTGGAAACATTTTAAATTCACTGGAACATATCAAAATATATGTATACATTAACAACAAATCTAAATTACATGCATCGCTATCTCTGTCACCCTTAATTAGGTGTGAGGCAGACTGGCAGCATAGAAAATACATATTTAGAAACGAATACAGAAAATTGTTCAACGGTGTAAGTAGGGACATTGGCATTATTGGAAATGTTATGAGTATATAGAATAAACACCTGTAAAACTGAGTCTAGAATAACTTGTCAGTATTTATAATAGAAAACGATTAATAGAGTTACAAATGGGAGCCTTCAGAGTCTTCAAAAGTATATTTCTAAAGTGATACTTGCATCAAAATGCAAGTTTTGCTTATCAGTTAGACTCCGTGTAAAAACACTCCATTAAAAAGAACATACACATTACGAATAATGTTAAAAAATGTACTTACCTTACTTACCTTATACCCCAGCTTCTGCCTGTGTGATATGCATTGGAGTGCCCTTCAAAATAAATGGAAGCTCACTGCAATTTTCTTTTATATACTGTAT